CCTGACACCGGCCTTCCTGGGCCCTCCGCTCTTGCCCCTCGTAGGCCCTGGCCCTCCCTCACCCCGCTTCCCCCCCGGCACAGACCCTCTGCTCCCTCCCCCCTCCGCTGGCATATGCCCCTCGGTGCAGCGGGCCTCGGTGGGTGCCACCAGTGCACCCCACTCCCTGCTTAACCCTTCCCCTTGGTTTGCTCCCTTCCTGCCCGCCTCCCCTCTCGGCTTCCAGCACCCGATCCCACAGACAGGGGTTATCCAGCAGGCAGGGGTTTCCCCACCGCAGGTCGCACATCTGCCAGGGTCTTCCCTGTGTTGCCAGTGATGCCCCACTTCCATTTTAGATCTGGCGACGGTCACCCTCCCGGCCCCATCCCTTCCTGCCTCCCCCACGTGCCTCCCGGGAACCCAAGGGACCGGAGCTGATCCATTTTTATCTCCTACACCCCTAGGCTCGATAGTGGTGGGTGGTGATGGCTCCTCTTGTGTGTGCAGTTTGGGGGAGATTAGAAAGAATTGCTTTGAGCTTCCCTGATCCTTGCAGTTGTCCTCGTTCCAGTCTCCTCTCATTCCGCACTTGCTTTGAGAGGAAGCTTTTAAAGTCCCTTTTCCCCTGCTCCTCGGTGTTACTAGTGCAGGGGAAGCTGCTGCTCTTCCTGCTATGGCTGTAGGGCCTAGAGAGGAGAGGGAGACACGAGGATCCTTTAAAAGGAGCATGACCCAAACACAGAGCGAGATTGTCAGCAGCCTTTCTCTGTGTGTGTTTGTGTTCACTGTTTGTTCCCCACGCCCCATGGTGTCTCCTCTCCAGGTTGGGGTGTGTGGTGGGGGGGTCGCTATGTCGGATGACGATTCGAGGGCCAGCACCAGCTCCTCCTCATCTTCATCCTCCAACCAACAGACAGAGAAAGAGACAAGCACGCCTAAGAAGAAGGAAAGCAAAGTCAGCATGAGTAAAAACTCTAAACTGCTATCTACCAGTGCCAAGAGGTGAGGCTGCAGTCAGTTTTTTCACTGATTTGTTGCATCTTCCCTTCTTCCTCATTTTATTTTGCTCCGTTCCCCTGCTGCTCCCATTCCTCATCTCTAGCCCTTGTGCTCAACCTTTCCACACAAAACTGCTATTGTCTCACTTTTTTTCAGTGTTTCACTGCCGTGAGTGTCTGTCGAACTTCACTGCTCTCTGGTCCCTCTTCCTGCTTATTCCAAATATTTTCCTGGCTTTTCTTCTTCTGGGCTGTTACTCTGACCCTCAATTATTTTTGCTGTCTTTTCCTTTTTCCTTACTGGCATTTGTTATGGGAATGGTGTAGGATTGACATTTAGACCTTTTTTTTTTTCTCCTACTGCAAGCTATATGGTCCAAAGTAAGGCAGTGCATTTCAACATCTGTTTCCCTCTCTTGTGGGCTGGAGTCTAGAGTGTCTTCTTTTCTTTCCAGGACTGAGTTGGAGATTAATTAATGTTTGTGAAGTTTTGAGTTTGCTTGCTTTGGGCGAGTGCACTATAGTGCAAGGGGTATTATATAGCCCGAGATTTTTACCAACAAATACATTACTATTGTTTTTGTCTGTTCATCACTTATATTGAATTTTCTATGTATGATTGGATGCTGCCTGGAATAAATAATCCGCAGAAGGCCCACTTGTGGACATTCTGCTCTAAAATAGCCTTTGCTCACAGCACAGAGTGAGCTTGGGCTTTTTTTGAGAATAAAGTAATTTTTATTCCAGAATAATGTGTAGGGAGAGACACCTGTGTAGAACAGCAATTCCGGAACAGCTGTGTCAGTCGGTTTTCTTCACTTGGACAGACTCTTGGAGCTACCCATTTAAAAAGGAAAAAAAAAAAAAAGTTACCCTTATTTATTCTGTGTGTCACCTGAATTCAGCACCATCCTGCTCCAGGGAGCTAAGCTGACAAATGGAGGTTTTCAAGCAAACTTGCAGTCCTTCAGTAAGAATAATAAACCATCTCACTGAACAGCTTTGCCAAGCAGCAGAGAGGTTGTATCAGTAGGTGTCTAGAGTGACTGGGGTTTTATGCAAATGCCCTGTCGTAGCAACTAAGTTCTCTGTGGCTTTGTAGAATTTAGGCAGTTTGGTTATTCCAGATCTCCACTCAGCAGGTTTCCATGGTAAACTGACATAGATAGTGTCAAGCAGTGTTTATGTGCTGTGCCCTTCACTTTTAAGGAGAATATTTTAAACTGCCTCCTGTGGAAAGGCCGTGGTTCTTGTGTGTGACAAGTGGCAGGAGATGCTGGCTGAGTTTAAGGGAGAAGGGAGGCAGGCTGAATGCTGGGTGGGGAAATCTGGAAGGGAAGCCTGAGTGACAGTAATGGGACTCCAGGGAAGAGGATGATAGCTGGTTGGGCGTTTTGTGGCAAAAGCAGCGTAAGCCCAGAATAGTCTGGGCCGGGAGGACAGGGTGTTGGCTGAGCACAGTCGAGAGAGGGAGCGTCTGGAGTCCTAGGGAGGGGCCATGGGGGTGTTGTGTGGCTCTCGAGGGTGAAGAGAAGGGAGAATTGAAGGTGGTAGGAATGTGCAGGAGCCTCGGAAATAGATATTCACCTTCCTTAAAGTGTCCTTGAGAATGGCGCAGTTATTGACTCCCTCAGGGCTGTGGGTTTTTTTTTTCTCAGGATGGTGATGAGAAGCTGGGGGAGAGAGGAGGGAGCCAATTTGGCAATGACTGTTTCTCTCAATCCCGTACGACAAAATTCCTTTTTAGACTGCAGTTTCCTCCTGGTGCATCACATTTGCAGAGGTTTCCCCTCATTTACAGGCTGGTTGGCAGAGCAAAGCGGACAGTCTTTTCCACTGTGTGGTTGGCATCTTTGTGGGAGTGCAGAGCAGTGCACCAGTCTGGGTTCAGTGTATGATGCCTGTCTGCTTTTCTGCCTGTCTCTTTAACAGGGCAGGGCACCTGTCCTGCTTAGGGGGTTTGGACTGGTGGGAGGCTGCAGCTGAGAGTGCCTCTCTCTTATGTACTGTGGCAAGCTCACAGTGACAGTGTGTCTGCAAAGAGAATGTGTTAACTGCTGTCCCACACAGTGACTTACCTTTGTTCCTTCTTGCTTTATTGCCACAGGATTCAGAAGGAATTGGCTGACATCACCTTAGATCCACCTCCCAACTGCAGGTTGGTGTCGATTCTTTACCTGAGGAGGGTGGGGGAAGGTGAGGGGCAGAAGTGTGCCAGTGTATTGTAACTGCCCTTAGGGGCTCTGGATGGAGCAGAGGAATGACTGTTTAGGTGGCCAACAGTAGTTTTGTGAATGCTTGCATGACTTTAAATAGTTTTCAGGTGGGGGTACCTCCAGAGATTGTATGTGTTTTGACCAGTTTTCTGTTTGTTTTGGGGGTTGTTTTGTTTTTTTTTAACAATTGCCTTTCAATATGTTATACTGTTTTGTGTGTGCACGTTTCAGAAACTGATCTAGAAAGAAGAGCGTAAAAATTTTCTCCTTGTTTGTTTTTGGTTTATAAATCTAATGCCTGACTGCACTAATCTTATATAAATAAGAGTCCTGCCAAGGAAGCAGAGAATGCTCTGAGGTTTTTAGTTCAGAGTTCTGTTGTGAACAGCAGCTGACAGTGGAAGAGAAGTGCAAATTCGTCACTCAGTGGGTGCCCCACTGGAACATACATCTCAGCTGATGAAACAGAAAGCAGAGATATTCTGTTGCCCTTTATAAAGCAGCTTGTTTTAAAGTATGTTTGATAAACTTGTTTTGTTTTATTAAAACATCTGGCAGGTTGATTTGTTTCATTGAATGGTGTCCCTGAACCTCTTTGCATTTGGAGAGGGGCAGTAGTAGTGTAACATCTTTGGTTATACTTGCCCATCTAAGAGGAAAGAGGCTTTCAGTATGGTCTGTTTGCTGTAGTTACTAAGTCATAACTCTGTTCCCATCTTCTTGCTGTAGTTGAGGTTTGATATGTTTTGATGTTGATAACAGCCAAAATCAGAGAAAATAATGTTTATAAGTAACTGCTTAAATTGGTCTTTTTGTTATTGAATTTCCATCCACAAATGTACACGAACCTTTTTATTGAAGCTTTTTGCTTCTGTTAGTCTGTGGGGACGCATTAGCATGAGAGTTAGCTTGACAGGTCCAGGGCCATCCTTTCGGTACCAGTCCCTAGGATCATAATTAATTAAAGAGGAGATTGAATGTGATGGGTGACATCTAATCTGATAGTAAGAAGATTTTTGTGCTGTTGGGATGATAACCAATATGTTTTGAAATTTTTAGCTGTGACTGTTTTAGGGACAGTAATGACTTACCTGAATATTACAAAATTTCCAGTTCTTGGGCTGGAGATGTCTGTCCCGTGTGCATCCCAACTCTGTGTCAGGATGAAGTCCACATGCTTTTCCCTCCTCCTCCCACTTTAAAATTATTTTCATGGAAAAGAAACAAAGAAGCACATCTCAGGTGCTGTTACTTGCTCTCTAAGTAACTGACTCTGGATGGTCAAGGTGCTGTGGCTTCAGACTGAACTTTGCAAGTCTGCCCAAAAGCTGTGATAGTATATGAGTATGTTAGATTGCGTGTTTCTTCTGAAGGTTTGTGTAAATGATATTAGAACCCTTATTTGTCTTTGTTTCATTTGGATTCATTCACAGGTAAAGATGAACTAGCAGACTACTTGTCAAAATACAGTATGGTTTTGGTTTTTCTTTTCTAATTATGTAGACCATTGAGGATAATGTGCTTCAAGGCCCACTTACTAAGTTTGTGTTCTTTCAGCCTTTACAAATATTTCTAATGGTAAAAATCAGTTTGTAGTACAGGTAATGATGATTACTCTTCATCCATAGTGGAGTTACAAGTATTCTGCATTCATTTTGACTTTCAGACAAGTGTCAGTGAAGGCTGGCAAATCCTGCAAGTAATGCATGAAACTGGTGTAGTTGTTACTGCCTTTTAATATATTCATAGGTATGAGAACGTGAGTGGAGGGGTTTGTTGTTTGTGTGTGTGTGTGTGTGTGTGACCAAAGGAGTTTTGGTATTGCTCATCTTGGGGTGAAGTCATCCTACTTCTGTAAATACGGTGCTGAGAGCCAAGAAGAGCAGCTCTGCTTATGGCTAACAAGGCTCCAGTTGTGCAGGCAAGCACTGGGAGTTTGCCCCTGTAGCGGCTGCTTTGTAAAAAGGCAGGCACATGCTGATTGCCACAACAGTGGGATGAGTTTCAGCCATTGCAGTTCTGAGGAAAGTTCACCTCTTGTGAAAAAAAGAAATTGTCAATTTATGACTGTGAGGAGATTAAGCAAATGAGAGACTGTGGTTGCTACATGATGTTTAAGGTTGCCAAAATTTGTTCTTGGGAAGATTGCTAACAGTGTCACTGCTTTCCTTTATACTTTTTCTTTTCGTATGAGCATTACTAGCATGCTGTGAAGGAGGTATTAAATACACAGTTCGAGAACTTAGTTTCAATTTCCTGCCTTTATGACTTTGCTTATTCTAACCTTGCCTCTGACCTCCTGCCCCTCATATCTCTGCTGTCTTTGTGCCTCTACAGACTTTTTTCAGGTGTCACTGGAGGAGAGACCTATCATCTCCTTTTAGGCATCTTACTGTCTCCTGCAAGTTTGATCTTAGAACTTACATATTCAGGGCATTATGTGTGGTGCCACGTACTACCTGTTGTGCTGTCAATTTTAGGATTGCCAAAGCCTCATGCCACATTTGAAAATGTTTGTCTGAAACTGTATCCTTTATTGTGTTGGAAACATCATAATCTTTTTTCTTTTTCTGGACATCTGTTCTTACACCCCCCACCACCACGTTTGTATTTTCCCCTGTTCTGTGCGTGGTGTTTGATATAAGGTCGTGGTTGGCTGTGCTTTAATTTTTGGCCTCGCTGCAAAATACCGTTCTTCTTTCAGACTTATTGCAGTAATGGGAGTTCAAGATATTTAACACATCCCAGAGCAGCTCTGCATATTGAAAGACAAAGGTTCAGGTTGTGAATGATTTTTTAGTAACAACTGTTTTACCACATCTTACATGAGGTATTTTTCTTATAAAATATGACATACAAGATGCAATTACAAATAATGACAACCATTTGACATTTCAAACAAAATAGCTTAAAAAGAAATGTTTCATTTTTATTTTTGTAGCTTTCAGTGACTGTGTTTTCATGTATGTAACCCACAGATCATCTGTTTAAAAAACAAAAACCAAAGAACCCAAACCCCAAGCACACTCAACACCCTGTGATTGAACAGCTGTGTGGTTTTTACACATATGTGGGTAATATGAGGGGAAGTTTATTCCAGAACTTCCTCTCTCCTCAGTACTTTCCTTGCTTCTGTTTTTTCCATAGCTTGCCTGTGTCCCCCAAAATTTTACCTGGGCTTGTGTCTCATGGGCTGCTGCATTTCTCATAGACCCTTTGTGCTTGTGTCTTCTTCCTCAGGGTGGGATTTTGATTTTCACAGGCTAGTGCAGTTAGTTGTGCAGAGGTGCAGAATACATGCACAGAAACAGTCTCTGTTTAGCTTGCATTTAAAAAGTAGATTTTTGGACTTGAAAATATTTTCTAAAAATACGTATTTAATACGTATGGCAAATTCTTGGGTTCCTGCTGGGAGTGGTACTGTCCTTATAAGTGTCCTAGTGTAATGTATGTTTGGCAGCTACTTCTGAATGCACTTTAGTCCTCCTCATTGTTTTCAGTAGGCCAGTGCTCTGGAGGTCTTGAATTTCTGCAAGATTATTTGACTCCCAGTATTAATACTGAGTTATGAAAGTTGAACTTGGCATTCAAGCTCAAAAGGTGGTTAGTGGTTCATATGAATTGGAGAATGACTGTTTAGACCTAAAGTGTTTTAAATATTTTAAGAGTATATCTGCTGATCTCTTCTACTTTGTTTTATATCAGAGAGTTTAATTCCTGTTTTAGAACTCAAAGAAGGTAACTAGGAACTTCTTAGTTTTGGTCTTTTGTATATGCTGGTGACAGAGGGGGTGTCATGCCTTTGCTCTGCGTCTGCAGATGTTAAAATAGGGTTCCATCTTGCTGTGTAGGCAGTCTAGATTTTTGTTTGCTGATAACACTTACGAGTGTTGTGCAAAAGCTTTCCTTCTGTCTCTGTGATGAAGTGTCCAAAGCTTTAAGAGAAGTTAATTAAAGCTTTAAGTACTCTTTATTCGCTTTGTGTCATTTATTCAACCTCTGGTGATATTGATGTGAAGTTATGGAACAAATGATTTTCCCCGTTTTTAGGGGTGGGGAGTTACAGCACACAAAAAACAAGTGACTTGTCCAAGGTCATGTAGGAAGTCTCTGGCAAAGTGGAGAAATGAATGTAAATCTCTTTTGTTTCAAGCTAACTTGCAGCTGAGCTGTTCTGCTGGAACTGTGTGCATCAGTTGCATTATGAACAGGGCTTTGAATTGGTGCTTTATTGGGTGTCTGGTATTGACTGTATGTAAGCATGGTAATATAATGTTATTTTTCCCATCTGTGTAGGGGGACCAAAATGGATATTAACTAGAATTAATGTTTTTTAATCTATCTTAGCCAAACTGAAGCAAGTTTGTCTCCACATGGCTCATTTAAGTCCATATAGGCAAGACCAGCTGTTATTTAAATAAAAATGATTTTCAAACCTATGCTGAAGGAGGCATTTGCCTGCAGGGCTTACCATTGCTTTAGAGTAAAATGCTATCACAAATTCATTATTTAAATAATAATAAAATACAGTTGTGTTTCTTGGCACTTTCAGCCCAGTTTTTGTAAATTCACAGAATAAGGACCAGATCTCCTTGAGAGTCTCATGAAAGTTAACTGTCAGCACTTAATAAATATGTGTCTCAATAAAGATGGTGGGGAGAAATGCTCTCTGTTATAACGTACGGAATATTAATAGTTTTTAAAACTTTGCAATGTGGAATTAAGATTTCTTGGCTTCAGAGAAGTCTGCATAAAATGTGTGGCTCAAAGGCAATTTTGAACTCAACAGCTTCATATTGTAATTAATATATTTCATCTACATACCATGCAAGTCTGGAATTTGTCTTGCTTACATTTGTTTTCTATGGTGCTTGTAATTTTTTTGCAAATGTATTTTTTCAATACTTTCAACTCCAATAATGCTTTAAGTGTTTTTGCTTTT